GGATGAGCCAGAGTGACTGCGCGCCAAAACTCCAAGCAAGATTCGATCCATCAGCTTATTGACACGCGAGACATTCCGCCGCATGTGCCTAGCTCATCCATCTGGATCAAGAATTTGGTTTCCTCTCCCAATCACCTCTGGACCTCCCCGTCTCGGGCTCAAGCTGCGCAGCAAGCCAAACAGGCACAGCGCTACGAAGGGTCGTAGATTTGTGCGCAGCTCCTGGATCATGGTCTCAAGTCCTCACACGTACCTTGCCAAAAGGTAGCAAGATGGTAGCTGTGGATCTGCAACCCATGGCCCCGTTGCCCGGCGTGGTGCAGATCTGCGGGGACATTACGTTGGAAAAGACGGCTCGGGAGGTAGGCATGGCTCTGCTAGGGGAAGATGATGATGGGTCATCCGCCGCAATCGAAGATCCGTCATCCGCTTCATCGCCCATATCGGAAGATCGATCACTCACGAACGGCAAAAAAGGAGCCAAAGCGGATCTGATCATTTGTGATGGCGCGCCAGACGTGACGGGTCTACACGCGCTAGATGCATCGCTGCAAGCCCAACTACTTACCAGCGCTCTCACAATCACCTTCAAGCTCCTCTCCCCCGGCGGCACATTCGTCGCCAAAGTCTTTGCCACACCACCTCAAAGGAGCTCAGCCACAGCTCCTTTTGCTGAAAAGGAAGGGACCACATTGGGCGGTAAAGACATGGTATTGCTCATGGCTCAACTTCGAACTAGATTCGACAAAGTCGTGCTGGCCAAACCGCCCTCTAGTAGACCGGCTAGCGCGGAGCATTTCATCGTTGCGACTGGCTTCGATGCGGACAACGAAGAGCTGGACGCCTTTGTCAGCTATGGAGATCTGTCGGCCTGGAATGAAGCGTCCTGAGAAGAGACTTGTACAGTAATCTATTGCGTCACGGCAGTCCGTTCGTAGTGTCAAGACCTGAAACCTGAATGCGTGACACCGATAGTGAGAACTTGAGCGGGCTTGACCGGGCAAGCATATGATGAATTGTGCCCATAAAGGTGTCAGTCCCCTTCGCCTTCGTTGACAAGCTCCCCACAAACAAAGTACTTGTTCGAAAAATGCCTGGCGAAGCAAGATGATGAGGTGATCTGAGTCAACACAGTCTCGCTCAGTGTTGCGCCAACGCAGTCAGCTCACTGAGCCCATTCTCGCATATTGGTGCTGGGGCAGGAGGTGGATCAAGCCTCTTTCAGCAAAAGGGAGAGCCGTGAAGGGGAGGGATTACCTACTCACACTTCTGCAGGCGTGAGGTCATCCAGCTTATCCAGTGGCTGATCTAGAGGAGTAAGCATTTCTGAAGCACGAGTAGCAGGACCGAAATAGAAGATTGCATCAGTCGGGAACGCGCACAACATAAAGGGGCGAAGGAGGTATGCCTCCACTCACCTAGAGCAAAAGATTGCTTGGCCATTCCACGCGATGCGTCGCGCCCAGCAAAGTTCCCGTATGGTCCGCCTTGATTGAGCAGACGGTTAGAGCGTCAGCAGTGTCAGATCTTTGTTTGCCAGTCCCACGTGCAGAGTCAGCCAGGCATGCCTTTGGTCGCGTTATGACCAGGACAGCGCTCTAGCCTCATGTTACACAGGCTCCGATGCGAACTGGAGTGTGTGTGCACTCGCACCACGCTGCGCCACTCACCAGGCCCATAAAAGTTTGCGCCCTTTGTCACATCAAAAACTTGACCCTCGATAGCCAACAGGATCGTCTCTCCCTCTTCTCCATTGGCTCCCGTCCCATCATAAACTGCCAAAGTCCTCGGCGTGTACCTTCTCCAGAGACTGGCAGGAGCATGTTTGGAAGGCAAAGAATTATAGGATCCGTTGGAGTTTAGAGAGGTGGTCGAGGTGCTGGAAGTTTGTCGAGCTTGGGAGAGGGTAGGTGTGTAGTGGGAAAGAGGACGTGGAAGGAGAGGGTATAGAAGGTAGAGCAAGACGAGAAGGAGAAGAATGTTGAGCGGGTTGGAAAAGCCTTGAAGGATGTGAATGGCCTGGCGTTGGATAAGAGCGTGATATCGTCAATGGAGCGCTATAATGAGCTCTGCCTCGTCGCTTTCGCACTGTCCAGCGTCCATATGTGTTTGGGTCATTGCGCTGTCCTTCCGAACTGTACTGCTTGCATGGTACAAAGCCAACCGGCCTAGCTCCACATCTGTTCAGAGACTCACCCAGTCCACCCAGCTTGGTGACGCTTTCGCAGCAGCTCCTCCGAACAGGCCCATGATAGCAGCAAGTCGCCAGCACGCCGTAGCAGTTGATGTTGAAAGGTTTGGTGAGACAGATTTGTTGGCTTTGGTGAGAAGGTAGAAGGGAAGGTGAGCGTGCAGCGCAGTGTGTGTTCAATGCAGGTGCTACTGTACCTACCATCAGCAACCACATATGCGGGATCACCAACACCTGAATTCGTGAAAGGCCTGTGCGGCGTGCCGCTAGCACTACGCAGCAGCATGCGTGCTCTGCATTTTCTCGCGCGACAAATCACGGACATTAATTGATATGATTGACATCCACGTGACCGCAATTTTCGGTCGGCAGATCAAATCTTGAAACAAATCAAATCATTGAATGAGCACAGAATCCAAAGGCGACATAAGGAGGTCACGATTATACTCTGTTACTACCACTACTCCTACTATCCCTTGTGACTTTTCTAGCCATACATCCGTGATCCGTGATTCACATTCGCATTTCCCGTAACACTTGCGGTCCTCGGTTCGACTCTTGACTGTATCTAGGGGCTTCGTCGCGAGCATCAACTTCACCGCCAAAGCGGGACCTATCCTTGCGCCGGCCATCAGACTTGTTGACGCTCGCCTGCTTCTGCAGAAAGGATGGCGCGCAAGGAATCCAGGGGTAAAAGCAGAGCCAGCGCTTCGGCGTCGCAAGGCGGTGGCACAAGCGCCAGCGCAAGCGTGCCTCGATGGCAAGCATCAGAAGATGTACCGATGGATGAGGTGGATGCCTTTCAAGCTTCGAGGGATCGCATTCTCCTCGACGACGACGAACAAAGTGACGATGACGAGGAGGATTTGGGAGGTGGTAGGACCGTGCTCGATGTTGGTGCCAATGAGGATGACGACGAGGATGAGGACGAGGAGGGGTACACGGGTGAGGAGGAGGAGGAGGAGGAGGACGACGAAGAGGTGGACATGGCCCGTAGTGGTGCTGTAGAGAGCGACAAAGCGCGACCTCAAACCAACACACACGCACAAAGAGAAGACTCGGACGCATCCTCAGAAGCGTCTCTTCAGGAAGAGACCGGTTGGGGTCCTCACAAGGCAGCCTACTATGATATGTCTCGTCCCGACGCCGACGATTCGGACTCGGAATTGGATCCTGAAGAGGCCAGAGAGCTGCAGTTGAAAGAAGCAAAGAATCTGCAATTGAAAGCGAGGGCAGACCTGCTGGATGAAGACTTTGGAGTTGGAGAGCAGGATTGGCAAAATTTCAAGGGGGCAGGTGGACTGTTGGGCATGAACAGAGCTGCCCGGGAAAAGAGGAGGCAGGAATTGGACGACAACCCGAGTCACTCCACGGAAAGGTAAGCTACACAACCCAGCATGTGATCCTCTCGCCACTCGAGCTCAAAGACCGTCGCATCGTTGCCTGTGCTTACCACCACCCTCGGTCCACCTGTGTGCGCAATGGCAGCGGCAGAACGCACGCAAATTCAACGGCAACTATGACAGTCGATACGCCCTTACCTACGGACAAGCATGCCCTGCACTTGCTTTTAGCCAAAGTGCAGAGGGAGACGCCGGAGACGATTGCTCTGATTGGAGACTATGCCGACTGCGTGGACCAAATGAGTGAAGTCCAGGCGGCAATGCACGCGTGAGTTTTGAGCTGGTGCAAGAGCGTCCAGCCTTGTGCTGTAGCTCGAGCTGATGGGCAGCCGCATTATGGGGGATGCTTCCTGCTTTCTTTCGGGACATCAGAGCGGAACAGCAACTGCCGAAGAAGGATCCTAGTCTGGCGCTCATGCACATCCATCATCGTGAGTGTTCAGCGCTGCTAGAATCACTTGATGTGCGGGAACGATCGCACTGACTGCATATCGTCACTCGCGGGATGCTCGGTCCGTCCGCCACAAAAGAGACACTCTTGACGTACTTGACGACGTTAGCATTCTACTTCCAGCTGCGCTCCAGCAAAGCGTACGCCTCGGGTTCATGCTCCACCAGCTTAACATCGCATCCGATCATTCAACGTCTCGTCTCCCTAAAGAGGGGTCTAGCGACGCTTGAAGAAGCGGGCGCCAGCGCAGCTGCTTCGGAATCGGAAGAGGAGAGCGAGGGAGAGATGGACCCTGCGGAGAGAGAATGGCTGGAGAAGATGATCAGCAAGGGCCAGGATGTTGGACGTGGCGTTCCGGGCGAGGATGAGGAGAGCTTGGGTGAACTTGACGAGGACGAAGTGGAACAGCTGAAGAATGAGCAGGTTGAAGCCAAGGGTGGACGTGCCAATGGCGCGACGAAGCAGACGAAGAAAGAGGCGCCCGGCAAAAAGTCTAAAGCTGCCAAAGGCGCTGGCAGCAAAGGTGATCGGGCTGCAAAGGTCAATGGCAAAGAGCAAACAGCTGGTAGCAAGAAGAAAAAACCGGCTACTGCGCTTGCTTCATCCGAAAGCCCCTTGGCCGCTCTCGAATCGCTTGCCTCTGCCGACGCTCATCTCTCTGAGGCTCTTGCAGCTGCCTCTTCCCAGGCCAAGTCCAGCTCCAAGAAACAAAGCTCAAGCAAAGCACGGTCAACTTCTGTCGACGATTTCGGAGATCCGTTGGAGTTGGACGCTGGCGATGCGGCAGACAAGGCCAGCAAAAGGAGAAGCTTGCAATTCCACACAGGACAGATTAGGTCCAAAGAGGCCAGAAGAGGAGAAGCTGCTCGGAAGGCACTTGGTGGAGACGCGGACATACCATACAGGGATAGAGAGAGGAGCCGATTGGCAGTGGAAAAGGCTAATGCGGCCAGAGATGCCAAGCTCGCTGAGCAGGCCAGAGGCGGCAGAGGTACGCAGCTGGACGATGAGGATGGCTTTGGGGAAGAGGACCTGCGGGACTGGAAGGACGTGATGGGCGTGCAGCCGCAGGAACAGGCTGGCGAAGAGGACTATTACGATTTGATCGCCGGCGGCAAGAAGGAGGCCAAGAGAGCCCGAAGGGAGGGGTACGAAGCGGAGAGAGAAGAGCAGAGGTGAGTTCACCGCTTTTTTTCTTTTTTCAAGGCGTTTCTTTTGCGCTTCTTTTCTTTCGTACAGCTACGCTTACGTGCCTGGCGCTTTTTCTCGTTCGCAGAGCCCTCGAAGCGGCCCTCGAAACGTCTTCGGGCGATGCTCATCGCTCCATCACTCGGCAAATCGAAAAGAATGCAGGCTTATCAGCTAAAAAGGGACCCAAGTCCATCCGGAATCCCAGAGTCAAGCAGAGAAAGAGGTTCGACAAGGCTAGCAAAAAGTTGGCTAGTCAGAGAGCCATTTATAAGGGTCCAAAGGATAATCATTATCAGGGAGAAGCGAGCGGTATTTCCAACGCGATCAAGAGTCGGAGCTTTGGTTAGGAGAGCCCTTGTGGACGCTCCAGTGCGCTATTGCTGCGAGCATGCATCACTCGTGCGCCTCTTTCAATCCATGCTACCCTCGTGGGGCTTTGATCTCTCACGCGCCCCCTGGCATACTGCTGATCGTCAATGATCACGCATTAAGCCGAGGCTTTTACGATTTCCTCGTCCCATTTGAGCCTCTGAAGCGCTCACGACTCGAGCTCTAGCCTTGCCTTCGGGTGAATCGTTGAACGCTTGACATTGTTTGGTCGTACAGGAGTGATTTGTTGGGTAAGAGTACATGCTTGAAAGGGCGATGGAAGTACAATGAAAGTGGACGTCTTACGGGCAGCGCGTCTCCGTGCACCCGAGTCCTGACTTTTCAGACTCGTGCCAAGGGATCACGCAAAGAGACACGAAAGGAGAGTCCGGTGCAGTAAGCTCTGACGTGTGCTTTGAGCTACCCTGCGACATGTGGAGTGCAGGTCTTGCCTGAAAGATCGGATCGACGTGCGTGATTGAGCTTGAAGCAGAGGGTGTTTCACCTCAGAGGTCTGAGAGGTCGCCACCATCCATCGAAGTCCTTGGGCGGTATCAGATCCGCATCGACCTGGGACGGGCGATCGCTCGCATCTCGAGGCTTGAGCCAGCGTGGTGCAAACGCCTCCTCATTTGATATTACGTAGGCTCGCGAAGAGGGGCTCAAGTGATGATCGTGGGCCGGAGTGATGCACAAGGACTGCGAATGCTCGTGCGATGATGCTGCGAAGGCTGGAGATCCCGAGTCCATGCGGAGCCTGTGCTCGTCCTGCTCTTCGGGGGGCGATATATCCTCGCGCAGAAGAGCCTCGTCTCGTTCCACAATCCACCTCGAGCAGCTGGCGCAGGCGCAATCTGCGATTGGCTCATGAGCGTCGTGCTCCGGCAGTGACATGGAAGGTGAGCTGGATCTGCTGACGTGTTGGCTCGGATACTGATCTAGGTCTTCCTGATCGAAATGGACATTGCGTTCGCGATCGCGTAACATCGATGTGAAAGGCAAGTGCAGCTGTTCAATCTCCTCGTCTTCGGGACGATACGAGCTATGCTCAGAAGGTGTCTGCCTAGATTCGACGTCGTGAGCCCGGGGTAGAAGGTGAGGCGAAGGGAGCGGCGATGTTTGCACAGCCACGTCTGCACCCTCCATAAAGAAGGGCGCGTCACTGAGCTGATGATCTTGTAAGTCCGAGACAGGAGGCATCCTCGCTGCGTCGCGGGTCTCCAATTGTTCCCTTTCGCAAGCGAGCAGCAACCTGTCGAGCGAGCTTACCGAGCCTTCGTCTGCAGATCCAGGCTGGGCATTCCTGCCCTCCACAGACAAAGGTGGAGGTTGAAGCGAACGAGCTAGGTCCTCAAGCCCACCGAGCCCTTGTCCATCTGTGTTGTCTAGAGGCCGGAGTAGCGGCCTAGCTTGGGTTCGCTGTCCGTTTGCAGGGTCTGCGGTAGCATCACGCAGCTCGTGATGCAGGTCAAGCCGCGAATGAGCGGCTCTCCAGGCGTTCTTCGGTCCAAGAGCAAAAGGTCCAAACGCAAGAGGTGGGTTATGCTGGGGTATCGAAGCGTGCTCTGGCGAAGGAGGGATGAAGGGTGGCGGCAGGATCTCCTCGCCGGGCTGAAGATGACGCAAAGGTGCTGCCGGCGAGGAATGCCTGTCTTCCGAGTGGTGGCTATTGCTGTCAAGCTCCCCGTTCTCCAACGAAGCAGTGCGGCGCAATGGCACTTTATCGACTGTCACTGGCGGGACTTTGCAAGGTGCGGGTGCATCCTCACTTTCTTTCTCACTGCTCTCTCCAGACTCGCCGACGTAAGGTGCTCTGTCCATACCTGCCCCGACTACCGATCTAGACGCTCGGCTGTACGTCTTGAATCGGCGCGACCCGCTTTCGCGTAGAATTTCTTGCTGTTTGAGTTCAAAAACAGCCTGTCGAGCTTCCTCTTCGTCATTTTCGAAGCGCATCGGATAGCTGTGGGCGGTCTTTTCTGGCCTTGGTGCGTCGCCTTTGGCCTTCCATTCAGCATGTGCGTTCTCGGGGTCCTCACTATGGTCTGAAATGCTGTCAGACTTGGCGCGCGTGTGAATCCGCTGCTTTCTGAGGGCCAAAGAGTACGCCGAGTGCTGCTGCGAGTCAGCAGTGAGCTCCGACTCTTCCGAAAGCAGGTCGTCCGCCTTTCGCATCTGCTGGTCCTGTCTGCTGTCCTCGGCCTCCGATGTTGCGCAGCCAGGGGACGACAATTGTCTCGCATGCGTGTGCTTCCTCGGCGCAGCCTGCGACTTTCGGAGATCTCTTTGTTGAGACCTTTCAGCCCTGTCATTTATGAGGTCGATTTGCCGTGCTCGACGATTGCCCGCCAGAAAGTGAGACTCAACAAAGCAGAGGTCCGTCGGAGCGCTTCGTGAGCCCTTTGCTCTGCGACTGGCTTTGGGTGGACCAGAGCTTACACCGTGATTGAAGAGGCCGAGGCGAGGCTCATCCACCCTTGTCTGAGAGGTAAAGGTGTCAAAACAGCATCAGCATCTATGATATGCGCTTGTGCAAGGCTAGATCACTCACAGTCAGACGCCTGTTTGTTCGGCGCGCTGAGGGCAAAGCAGATACCGCAGCAGCATCTGGTTTGCGCTTCTTTTGCGATCTGCTTGGCCTGCATTTGCCGTGAGTGATAGAGCCACGCTTTTGACCAGCTTTGTCCAGCCTCTGCTCTTGCTCTGACGAAGAAGGCGTGTCCTGACTTGTATGATGTGCGTTTTCGTTTCGACGTCGACGCTGATCCTTGTGAGCTCGACGAAGGCGGGTGGCGTGCGGCACAGATCGGTCTATCACTTGCACGGATTTTGGCTCGCGAACACGCTCGTCTTTGTCGCTGTCTTCTGGCACGACTCCGTGGCGAGCGAGCTTTCGTTCATGCCTCGAGCTTTTGCGCGCTGCGAGACCTGGACCGGAAGGTCAGAGCGAATAGATACGGAATGAGTTGGAACTAGCGATCGTGTGTCGCAGATGCGCGTTTTTTACTCACGAGAGTCAACGTGCGATTCATCAGCCCAGTAGGAAGATGGCAGATGTGCAAGATGCTGCGCAGCTACCTTTCCGGAAGGCAGAGCGGAGATACGCTTCCTCCTCGAGTTGCCATCATTGGCCAAAGTTTGCCCGAGTTCCCTCGCTGTTGAGTCTCCTCCTGCTTCCGCAGCAGGCTTGAGCCGCTGCCCAGCGTTGGAGGCGATACCCTGCTGGTGCAAAGAGCGCTTAGGCTCACCGTTGTGCTGCGTCGCCTTTGCCATTCTCGATACGAAGGGCTTGATTCCTTCACGCTGCTTTGAACCGTTGTCGACCGTGGCGGCCACATTACCGGCCTGACTTTCGACCAGTGCAGGGCGCATGGCACTTTCCGGCGCCGGCGTTCCCGTGAATCGGTCGTGTGCATCGCGAGCATCTCGTTGCTGTGCAGAGCTGGCATTGGGATCGAAGGAGGAGTTGACCAAAGGGGAGAGGCGCAGGTCGGCGGGAGCGGGTGTCCATCTCTGTTGAGCTACAGCGACAACGTAGGCTCGCGTATCGCCTGCACTGCCCTTTGGAACTTGAGCAAGCGCTGCGGCGGTCAGAGATGTCGTCATGTTGGCACTGCTACTACGACCAACTTTCTACGCGGAAGATGTTTCGACGCCATGGCATTCTGCTACGCCCTGCCCGGCTTGCTCGGACGCTGGCGCTGATCCTTGTCGGATTGTTGTAGACTTGAGACTGAAATTTGAGTGATTCCTCGTCTCTAGCTCCGGCCAAGTCTGAAAGTTCCGCAGCTGTCGCGGTCATGAGGCGTCACAAGGAGCTGCAATCTGGTTTTCACTGGTGAGCGCTACAATTGAATCAGGAATGTGTACGAAGTTGGGCGATGAAGTATTCTGATAGCATCAACCCGTGCAGCGAGTCCCGGATGCTCGGCGCACTGAGGCTCTGCATGTCTGCATATGTACGGTACAGTACATGTACAGTATATGTCCGCCGGACAACGGAGGAGGCGTGACGCATTCTTGATTTATCTTGACATTCGTGCCATTTCTGAGGTTTCTTTGCTTGTTTTGTTCAAATTGGTGCTCTCCGAGGTCCAGAGTCCAGACAAGCGTGCAGCGATGCTCGTGACTCGTGACTTGACTCAAGACTCAAGACTTCGACCCATCCGAATCCTGATCACGTGGTTCAATTTCCCATGAAACCCGCGCACCTTTGACAAAGGGTCTACGGTATATAGCTCGGCATGATGATGCTTCTCCACCTCATCGTTCCAGCATGCATGACCTGAGCTCCGTTTGGGCTTCACGGATCTTGAACAAGGATCAGGATCAAATGATATCAAGAAACAAATGACTTCAAGCGATTCATGTAGCGATCGAAGCAGCGGCCCGCCGGGCTTATCATCAGGTGGAGACGCGGAGCGGATGCAACAGAAAGGCGGCGAAAAGGGGCCCGAGCCCTCAAGCATATATAGGATCGATGCTGGCTGCGCGAGGGCGCCATGCTTGCCGTCTGTCGCACATTGGTACGCGCTCAACTCAGCAGTCACGAGTGTGAGTCAAGAGTGACTATCCTCATATCAGGCTCGAGTCGTGCCATGGATGTGAGCAGTCACGAGTGAGTTAGGTTGATCGGTTAATTACTGCTGTGACTGGTCAGCTGCTGCCTTGCTGGGAGCCCGGGCCTGGATTCGCATACCTATAGGAGGGCGGCAAAAGTGCGGGCCTTCAGCAGCCAAAAGGTGAGGTTACCGGTACGGCTCTTGAGCTGTGAACGAGATGCGTGGCTGTTCACACTGCATGGTACAAGCAAGAGCTCAATTAAAGAGTCACGAGTCACTGAGTGCAGGACCGCCTCTTGGTGGCTTGTCGCACACGTATTCTCGTCTTATTGAGGTTAGTCTGAGTGACATCAGGCCCAGTCACAGTCTTTCTCGTGGCTGAACAGACTTCACGATTCGTGACTGAGCTGCTGCTCAACAGCAGAGCGCAGGTAAGAATGTACGATTAAAACACCTGCCTCTCTGCCTCGCTCGCTACCCGTGCGACTTCCATCTATATACGAGCGAAGGATCGTGAAAGGTCTGCTCGCTTTGTTGCTCCTTCCTGTCAAGCCTTCAAGCCACACCAAGCTGTTCTCCCTTTTCGCCGAAGCCGCATCGAGAGCCAGTCACGTTCCTCGGTCCTTCCCTCACCTACAGGCCGTCGGTCCCTCATGTATGCTCCCTTCCTACCACAGCGGGTCAAGCGTAGTGCAAAGGTAAGGCGAGGTATCAGTCAAGAGGTGAGATCCGTGTTCCAGCACATTCCGTTGCTATCAGGCCTGTTCTCTAGTCGACACGTCATAGGCATTGCACCGCCCTCTCATCCACTATGGCAAAGAAGAAAAAGTCAAGCACGATCCCTTCCATGATGGACCCTGCTGCTGTTTCAACAGCGGCAGCAGCGGCCAATGGACTTTCTACGGAAGCCAGCTTGCAAAAGTTGTGGGAGTTGGTCGTATGTCAAGCGGGATCCCTCCACGAGATGGCTCAGCATTTGCAGAATGAAAGTCGACAGCCGGCCTCCTCGAGCTCCCAACCCGCTTGCGGACCCACGATGAGCTCGACCAACCCCTCATCTTTTGGCGATGTTCGAGACTTTGAAGTCACCGTGAATAGCATCCTGTCTCGCTGCACCAGTCTAGAACAGCGCACGTCTAGTCTAGATCAGACCAGCTTCGAACTTCCCAAGCGACTGAGAGTCCTCGAGGAAACGATGAACAGCTTGCAACGAACGAACACCGAGAATATGCAAGAGATCATCGAGCTTAGGCAAAAGCTTGCTGACGCTCATAAGATCAACACCGATACACGAGAAAAAGTTCAAAAGCTGATGGTACTAGAGCTCCGATACCGAGCGCAAGCCAGCGTCAAGCGCCCGACTGATGGTGCTCCATCTGCTATGCATCAGGCTGTGGCGACCTCTTCGGTCACGGTGCCGCAAGTAGCCCTCCTTAACCCGGCCCCACCGGCCGACGAGGGTCAGAGCATGGCAGACGAGGCGAGTGCATCACCTTCCTCTGCCCCTGCTACTCACGCAGCTCAGCAGCCAAGTGCTTCAAGCAGCGAAAAACCCGTCCAAATTCTTTCACGCCTATCGCAGAAAACGGCAGCTCCAAGCCTCTCTTCGTTCATCCCGTCTGCTCCTTGTGCTTCGGGACACACGAACACAGCCCCCACGAGCCCTCCTGTGGCACGCCACTTGAGCTCGAGCGACTCTAGCAGCATTGAAGCGACTACCGGTCAATCTGCCCGACAGTGGTCCATTCCTTCAGCAATGCGGGTCCCTGCCGTCGGTAGCACCGTAAACTCCTGTCCTCACACCAGTGCTACGCGATCTGCAGCACCCGGCAACGGTGCGCAGGCCAGTGCTGTACAGGATTCTCAGCAGGTCGCTGATTCATCTGGGAATTCTGGGCGCTCTTTAACCTCTTCAAACAGCTTAGACACGTCTTCAAATTCGATCCCATCCCAACGACGGCCATCTGCCAGCTCTTTGGACACCTCGGCAGCCAAGCCCCAGGGTACTCATTCGGCCCACTCTGGCGTGGCAGTCCAGAGACACAACAGCACGACATCCACAGCGGAGTTGCCTTTGCCATCGGCTATGCCTCCTCATTCCATCAAGGCGGCAGTGCGGGAGCCCCAGACTCTGTCTTCTCCTCCATCAGTGCGCTCTGCGGCTTCCACCTCCACCGCAGTCTCGAACTCGCACACTTTTCCATCGTGTACCGCCCCAGCCCCGACTCCACCAGCGACCTCCGCCTCTGTTGCGCCATTAGCACCAGTCACCGCTCCTGCACGTCCGACGCAACACGCTCGCGTCAAGCCGGAGCCCAAGGATGTCGATGAAGAGGAGGAGATCATCTTTGTCTCTGCAACCAACTCCACCAAGAAAGGGCGAGCAGCGCAACTTGCTCTACGGGCGAAGCCGGAACTGAATGCGCAGGTCCCTGCGACGAGCAGCACTACTCACGGGCCCCCGAATCAATGTGCTGGCTCGTCGATGTCAAATTCGGGAGCGATACTTCACGATGAGCTTGAAGATTTGTATCCAGAATGCCTCGTCAACGTTTCGCAGGAAGAAACCGCTTCAGCTGCTCACCGCGCCCCGCAGCCTGTGTCGGGAGCTAGTGCCTCATCACCCACATCTTTGGTCAGTCAACCGTCTGGGGCGCCAGGAGGCCAGCAATCGCCAGTAGACCAATCGACAGCTAGAGCTGCTATGCCAATACTTCCGCAAATTGCTCCTCTGGCAGCTCCGCAAGAGCAACGAGCCCTTGCCAGCAGACTCGGTAGCGTGTCACTCGACTCTGCCTTCGTTGCGCCCTCTGCATTTCCTTCTGGCACGAGGACGACGCAGGTCAATACCGGACAAGGCGTGCAAGGTGAAGCCTCGGCCATTTCAGCAGTCGCCAAAGGAAGAGATCGCATTCCACTCGCTACAAACGGAGAATCGGACCCTCTTGCAAATGTCAGCAGTGCTACCTCGGCACGAAACGCGCTCAGGCCAAAGACACCCACCGGTCCCAGCCCTTCAACGACTCCACGCGCAATCAGAGCTAGATCCGACGTCCAAATCAGCACGCTGCCACCCTCTGCTCAAACATCGGCTAGACTAGCCAAGAGGAACCCTGGCGTTCTCTGGGCAAACGCGTTGATCCGTGGCAGCATTTGGCGCGTCGGCTTCGACCCCAAGATGTCGACCGAAGGTCGCATTGGACACCGAGCTGCTTGCGCCATAGACACAGGTCTGCCTCCCGACCTACCCAGGGGCTCTCGGGGCGTGACGTTCACTTTGCAATTCGCCGACTTCGAAAGGCTGGACACGCTCCGCGGTGCATCGACTGCCGCCCTTAAAGTGAACTTCATTGTGGATTTGAATATGGATCCTCAACTCATTTTGCTTGGCTTCAGACACAAGCATAAGCTCATCATCGCGAACGGTGGTAAGCTGTTCACTCTCCAGACCGCGCAAAATATCACGGTACCATTTGCAGACCCGTATGCGGGAGTGCCTATCCTCGAGGGTGACATGCAGCCCCCAAGAATGGCACCTGCCACCACCGAAAATCTGCATCAAGACTCGCTGGGTGGCCTCAGCAATACGTCAAATCCGTCTTGGAGTTCGCGCCATGCTTCCGTGCACTATTCTACGCGCGACCTTGACGCACAGCTAGACCGCTACAATGGAGCTAGGGGTCACGGTCATCGAGAGGATCATGTGGAGCGCCCGGAGCCTTGGTCTCCTTCCTCGCATCGTCCTGGACGGATTACTGACTTACCGATCGCCCCGAGCGCCCCGAGCGCCCAAGCTTACGTGATGCATTCGGCAAGTCACACGCGTAGATCCCGTCAACCAGAGCAGGTGCGGCTCAGTGTGCTCGGCACGGGCGACCCTGGCAGCTACCAGCCCGTTCACGGCCTTGTGCCGCCATCTAGCACATTTGCACAGGATGCCGCGGACGAATACCAGATCGGCATGGCCTTTGGCCCAACAGATGACCAGCTACAAAGTCCCGGCAACACCGAAGCCTCCGAAAGCAACACCATCAGCTCGCGCGGAGCAATCGATGAGAGGCAAAGCAGAGCAGCTGCTTCCAGTCGACCTCGCGCATCTTCCCCTGTCATCAACAAGAGAGCTGCCGCTGGCCCGCTATCTGGTCGCATCTTTGACGCGCCGCTTTCTGCTTTGGAAGGTCGAATGGCAACTAGCACCTCGCGCTGGGATCAGCAGGAACCTGCCAAACGTCGCAAAGTCACAAATGAATGAGCCGAGCGTCTACAGAACGGCTAGACGTCCAAACGCGTTCAAACGAAAAGGTACTCGGACGTGTTACATGACTGAGATTGTCTGATTCTCTTCTGCGCAGGCGTCACCTCTCTTTGTGTAACTCTTACATCGTCCGGCATCGCCGTTTAGGCTACAAGTACAAGGCGTAATCACATTGTCGAGAAACCGTTTCGGGATAGTTCGCTGAGCGACAAGCTGAGCGACAAGCGTAAATTCAAAAGATTGAGTGATCTGGGCCTGACAACGCCGGTTTGTGCGATTCAGGAGCCTCTTTTCGAGGACAGGAGGCTGCTTCCATTAGGCTTTCCTCGTGCTGCTGATTCGTCAGCCAGCTTTTGACGCGCTGACCGAACAGCTTTGAAGCGATCCAGGCGCGCGCGAAGTGCTGTCACTCTGTTGTTGGGAGGAGCGGATCAACGACGAAAGAAGAGGTGAGCGAAAACAGACAGGAAGGATACGCGTCGAGCCTGCGGCTGATTGAACAGTGACCTTGATCTCGGATCCCTTGCGATGGACAACCTTGGGGCATTGTTCTCTGCTACACGAGCCAGTATTCTTGCGGCCATCTCTAAGGGCAGCACAGATGTCTTTCCGTCGCCTGTACTTTTGCACGAACCAACAAGACATTTGCGGAACGTAATGTGACTCACCTCTCGTCGGCTTCATCCTGCAGCCTCTGTTCCTCCTCCATTCTTGCGTAAATCTCCTCTTTCGCCTCCTTGTCCAGCCTTTCCCTTTTCTCTTCCTCCGTCTCCACCGCACCGACCTGATCAATTTCTTCAGGCTGCTGCGCTTGCTCGCTCTGCGAGGGCACGGATCCGTTCTGGCTACGAAGGACAGGAGCTACTTCGATGGTCGAGTCGACGTACTTTGCCACTCCACTTTCGGAGGTGGAGGGAGCATTGAGCACTTCTGCCTGAAATCTGGCCCATTCGTCCTCCTCCTCCATACGCTGATCGTCATGCGAGCTGTGTGTTGTCCTTTGCCTTTTGCTCTCTGACGCATCGGACCTCCCTGCAATTCCCAACGCCGAAGATTCGGACTCCAACTCCTCTGCTGTTCGCTTCCTGTCCGTCTCTGTGCCAGCAGCCGCATCATCCACAAGCTCACTCCGAGCCTCATCGGCCAGTCTCTGCTCTTCAGCCTCTCTGAGCTCAGCTTTCAACCTCGTCACATTTCCTCTGTGACTCTTGCTAGATGCGTGAGAGGACCAAAGCGCTTCGTGCTTGATACTGGCATCGCAAGCTTTGCACCTCAGTGCGCGATTCCTGCCTACATACACCGCGTAAGGATCCGAGATGCCCATGATCGAGCTGCTGGCAGAGGGTTTCTCGGAAGCAGAGGCAGCATGGACGTTGGTGGATCCAGAAGATGCGGCCGAGGAGCTGCTGTGCGCAGAAGCTGCTGCTGCTGCTGCTGCCGCTCGTGCTCGCAGAAGCGCTCGAGCGTCGGGTGCCATCCTAGCTACCAGAAGAAGGTAGGCGCGCCCTTGAGAGCCAGGCTGTCGGGTGATCGAGTTTGCCGCGAGTGAAAATGGCACGTCCGGGAGTGGTAGACGCAGATCGAAGCGCTTCAGACCCTGCTTTGCGATGATCAATGTCCGACTTGAAGATAGTTGTGACTGGCAAATCGTGACCAACACGCGTATTCCTCATGAGCAGCGGGGCAAGCAGATGAGTAGTCACCGAACGCCCAACGATGAATTGCACGAGTAGGCGAGTGGTGGGTTAGGAGATGCAGCTGATGTAGGGCGAACGACACGGAGCCAAACGATGAAGTGGGCCACTTACACCCACAACTCGTGACTTGATTACGTTCGCGAATCAAGACCAGTCAGGAGTCGTGGGTCTGGCGAGGCCCTACATGGATGGACCTGGATGCAGCGGCGCATTTTATTCGGAAGCGTCCAAATCCTGCGTCACGTGCGTGCTTTTCGCCCCTTCGTTCTTGCCGCGCGAGCGCGAGGGCCGCTTCATGGCGGGCGCAAGTTGAGAAATCTCGTTTGTGCTCTGGCGAGACTCACCAGACTTTTGTGCGCATACGCTTACGCATACGCATACACTCAACACTCATCACTCAAGACGGCGACTCACGCAGGACTTGCAAGCGACCCACTCCACTCACGTTCGCGCAGGCTCACGATCTTACGCAAAGGTTGGCTTTCTTCTGTCGAGCAGTACCAGCAGCGTGTCCTTGAGTGGCGTGACCGTCCCTGTCGCCATTACGCCTACACAGCCTTTCGCCAGTCGGTGAGTGTACAACAGACAGCCTTTTGAGGATCGGATCAGAGACAGACTTGCGTTGCACTTGCTGAGTTCTGACTCCATTTTTCGAAGAAGCAAGACAACTCTCGTGGAGATTTCGCAGCTCACAATGATAGCTCGAGGTCGCGCTGCCGTGCTCTTATTGGCTCGTCGATGTGCCTGCGGTTCGACTTCAGCCCAGTCCGCCCAACTCTCGAGCGTCGTATCTGCCAAGCCTACGACCGCCCACCTCTCTCGCTTTTTCTCACAATTATCACTTACTAGGCCTGCACATGAGGAGACCCTTTCAAGCGCGCAGCCAAGCGGCAGCAAGCATCAACTTTCGCAGCTTAGGTGTGCTTCTTCTGAGGCTGGAACTCGAGAACAAGGGTCCGTAGAGCAGAGCGACGAGGATGCTTCGACTGCCCAATCCGATGCGCTCGCTCAGCAGCAAGGCGCAATAGACGAAGCGGTGTCAGCGACGACAGGTTCCGGGGGCGCAGCCGCTCGGCCCATTGCTATGCCAGGTGCTTCTACCTCCTCCGATGGGCAAGATTCATCCGACGATGCTCCGTCATCGCAAGAAAGCTCACCACCTGCCTACTCTTCGCCATTCTTGTCTCCGGAGCAAATCTCTCAACAGCGAGCTGCAGCTGCGACACGTCAACTTTACTCGATGCCCGGAACGTCTGAGCATGCCTCATCTGCCACACCTACACGTATTCGACGTCCCTTCCCTCTGTGGGTAGTGACGACAGGGCACGGCAACACCAAGTTGACCCTGACTCGTCCGAACGGATCACCCCTGACCTGGACATCGGGCGGCTCTGCCGGATTCAAGAAATCACAGAGGAGCGGCTACGAAGCGGGGTACAGAGCGAGCACAAAGATGTTTGCCTTGATCGGAAAGAACAGGAGCAAGTGGGCAGTGGATAGCGTCGAGATCGTGCTCAAGGGAATGTCGGGAACGGGCAGAGATGCTTTCACTAGAGCTTTGTTGAGTCAGGAAGGTGCGATGGTCAGACGACTGGCCAAGAGCGTGAGGGATGCTACACCACTCAAGATCGGAGGAGTGAGGCCCAAAAAGCAAAGAAGTGAGTGAAAATTGTCGCGCTCTGTCGTGGAAGCGCAGCGCAGCGCTGTGCTAGGCATGAGCATGCACATGTCTTGCGCATGCATGCACGCATCGTAGTACGCTTGAACAAGAGGGGTGGAATTTTGGTATCTCGCCACGAATACAACGTAGAAAGTGCATACTGTGTACGATTCTTCACTGACTCTTCGCTTGCCCCTCTTGCGCGCCTTGACAGACTATTAGGCGCGATGACACCCGTCTGAAATGTGCACTAGATCGAAATGTCATGCTGCAATGGTCTGCTTATGGCCTTGACAAACCTCGAGCGAGCTCCGGTCGCGTGCTCGTGGTTGACGCGGACCCAGCCTTTCGACAACGCTGTCTAGGCTCGGCGCGCGCTGCTGTCAATCCAAATCGTGCGCACATAGCTCCTGCCTTGTACCACCGGATTTCGACAAGAGCATGTGTGCCTTGAACATCTACGACTCACGCCCCTTTCGGCTTGAAGCGCACCGCCACGTTTCGAAGAAGAATTCATTGTCTGATTCAAATTTCAGTTTTGAGTCAGAGTGGTGAATCTGGTGTGTGCCGCCTTTGATGCTTCTAGCCCAAGTGACGGTCACGTGATGTCAAAGTGCGCACGGTCTTCGTAACGACGCGTCACACGCTTTCGGGGTCAGACGACCCATGCGGGACTCCAGACTTGCCGCCCTAGGTGGTTCTCTCGCAGCCTCCATTTGCTCTCCATCACCTCAAGTCAGCGGCCAAATCAGACCTCGGACGCTAGGCAATTTGAGCCTGACTCCTTTCATAAAGCATAGCTCCAGCTCGCGTCCGCCAGCACGTCACACAGAAAGGTGCCAAACCTCTTCTCATCTCATCCAAGCAAGCAGCCATTCGTCGAGCGGGAAGACTCGCTCGACTTGTACTGCCCAAGACGTCGAGCAGCGCTATTCAAAAGCGCCGTCTGAGCGAGGCACCGGTGAACGTAGCCAATCCGATCGGGCCCGAAGCGAAAAGAGGTAGAAAGATGCCTAGCGCACAACCCACTTTAGAAGCTGCCGATGCGGCCATAGCAGCTGGAAGGGAGTCCGAGGCGGAAGACATTCTGCGCCAAATCTTGGCTCAGGGAGTCCAGCATGACTCGGATGCCATGGCTACCAACGCAGCCACACCGGCTGCTTCGCAATTGGACCAGGATACGGCCAGGACTCAGGAGGCGGCGCTCAACAAATTGGCAAGTCTGTACGCCCAACAGAAACAATCTCAGAAGCTGGCCAGCTTGGTGAAGGATAGCAGACTCTTCATGACCAGGCTTCCAAAGGCTAGGACTGCCAAGCTCAGTGAGTGACTCGTCATACCTAGAGTACCATTCAGAAAGGGCCACCCCGACTGATTGCACACATCTCTCTCCTCACAAAAGTTCGCTCTTTGATCGATAAGTTTGACGCTATTCCGGACGCCAAGGAGACACAAGTGGAGGTGACGAAGGAGAACATCGAGTGGGCGAGGGAAGAGAGACGAGTGTTCCTGCGCCAAAGTCTGGAGACGAGACTCATAGGACTGTGAGTCAGCCGCATCGATGAGCTATGCTAAACTCGTTGCTGAGGTCAGCGCCTTGTCTCTGCTTCGAACCAGGTACTTTGACCTGACTCAGTACAGAGACGCGCTGCCCCTCATCGATTCACTGCTGAAGGAGCTCAAGAGACTGGACGACAAGATGGTCCTCACAGAGGTACACTTGCTAGAAAGCAGAGTTTTGCACGCGCTGAAAAACTTGCCGAGGTCAAAGGTGAGCAGATTCGCCTTGGCAGAGATGTGCGATGATGACTGTCAATGACTGAACATGTTTTCTCGTGCTTGCCCTTTGGCAACCAGGCTGCCCTCACCTCTGCGAGAACAGCTGCGAATGCTATCTACTGCCCTCCGCTTCTGCAAGCGCAGCTGGACATGCAATCGGGAGTGCTGCACGCGGAGGACAAAGACTACACTACCGCGTGAGCATCGCATGCTTGAGATGTGCAGAGGAAAGCTTGACATTTCGCTCATGCTACTTGTTCTGCCTCCCCAGGTACTCGTACTTCTTCGAGACGCTGGAAGGCCTATCAGCAGCCGAGGATTCCCGCGCTCCATTGGCACTCAAGTATATGCTGCTCTGCAAGATCATGCTCAACTCTTCGGACGATGTTAGCGCCCTGGTAGATGGCAAGATGGCTGCCAAATATGCTGGAAGGGATGTGGGAGCTATGAAAGCTGTGGCCACGGCCCACGAGAAACGTGATCTGGGGGCCTTTGAAACAGCGCTGAGGGAGTACAAGGCTGGTAAGTCTAGCATTGGCGCCAGATGGCCCTGTTTGGGCTGACTTGCTCAAGTTGCCAAACGTCGTTGCACATGCAGAGTTGTCAAACGATCCTATCATCCGCAATCATCTTGCGGCGCTGTACGACACGCTGCTGGAACAGAATTTGCTGCGCATCATTGAACCCTACTCGCGAGTAGAGATCGATCACATTGCGAAGGCGGTGCAGCAGCCTGTTAGGGAGGTGGAGCAGAGGTGAGTCGTCCTGACAGCATTGCATCCATCCATTAGACGCTGTGATCTCGGGTGGACTGATTCCGTCAACTCGTGAACGCGATGATCAGACTCAGCCAAATGATCCTGGACAAGGTCTTTAGCGGCATTCTGGACCAAGGTGCGGGATGCCTCGTGGTGTTCGACGATCCTGCTCCTGATGTGAGTAGAGGGCTGCAGAGCGACGACGCTCGAAGTGCGAGCTGACACAGCACGCCCAATGACGTTGCGCGCAGAAAACGTACGAATCAACGTTGGAGACGCTCAAACATGTGAGCAACGTTGTCGATTCGTTGGCACTTAAGGTGAGTTGTGTCGAGGTGCTCGCTCCATCATAGGCTCGCTTTGCCTGTTCACTCGATGCTCGCTCTTCTCCTCAATCAGGCAAAGTCGCTTTCGTAGAGCGCGACGCTGTACATGAGAGGCGGGGTCTGTGGAAGACTAGACGAAGCCGACTGTCATTCTTCGCTCGCTCGCTCCCTCCCTCCCTCGCCACAGCCACTCAATCAACGAAAGTGCAAAGAAAGTGGCAGTGGCACCGTCTCATTGTGATGGGTTGAAGCGCTGCTTCATTCCTGATTGAATCAAGAATTGACCAAGAATGTTCGATTCGATGGATGATGAGTCACGTGCCTTGCAAAGCCAACTCGATCGTGAATCGGGGAGACGAAAAGTTCGACACGAGCAAATTGATGAGGAGCTAGCTGCTTTTGCCTGTTTGGGGGACATGATGAGGTCAGAATGATTTTTTTTTTTCGGATATTTTTGCCGAGATGCCGAGCCTTTTTGTGGCTTGCCTTGCCTTGCCCCTTCTTGGGGGGAATAAGCGTTGATTCGATTCATGATTCGGATTGACGGATTGCATGGCATCGCTCGATTAATTGGCGCTCGTGACTCTCCTCGCGGCTGCATGCTGCATGGTCTAGCGGTGAGCACTGAGCACCGCGACCGGCGCCCCCCGTCCCCCCGTCGCTGCGGGGCTATGTATTCCGGGCGCGCGCGCAAAATCACAAACGAACGCGGCTGGGCGCGGGCAGGGTGTGCGGAGCGGAGCGGAGAGAGTGCAGCTGCAGCTATAGGGCTGCGGCTGGTGACTCTCACTTCATCATCGTGCATGCATGCATGCATGCCTGCAATCAAG